TTTTTGCTGAGGAAGACTGGCTCTGAGCTAACATCTATTGCCAATCTTCCTCCTTTTTTTTTCCCCAAAGCCCTAGTAGATAGTTGTATGTCATAGTTGCACATCCTTCTAGTTGCTGTATGTGAGAGGTGGCCTCAGCATGGCCGGAGAAGCGGTGCATCGGTGCGCGCCTGGGATCTGAACCCGGGCCGCCAGTAGCGGAGCGCGCGCACTTAACCGCTAAGCCACGGGGCCGGCCCCTAGAGTATATTTGTTAAAACTGATGTGGCAGCTGAGTGAGGTATTCTGTAGCTGGAGGATGTTTAGGAATATCTAACCTGCTGCTAGAAACAGAGGTCTCTGATTACAATTTGGCAGTTTTACCACCCCTAAATTATGAAGGAAAAAGAGGAGAGAACAAGTCTACTGAAAAGCTATGACTGAGACTCTTCACGTCCTGTGTCCTCACAATTTTTGCACTTGTGGCCTCCTGCCCCTCTTCTTTCAGTTTTTTGGTTTAGTCCTGTGGCAGGCTGTTCTTTCAGTCTCTTTTTCCTGTGTGTGTGTATTGTTGTCAGCAGTTAAATATTTACCGAATCGTAGTGCTACAGCTTTCCTCTAAGACTGGTGTTGACTTTTAGTGTTGCAAACCATTTCTGGTCCTGCAGGAACCCCAGTGCTTCTGTAAACCGCTCATGAATGGGGAATGCTTATTTAGCTTCAGGTTGCAGCAGTTTGGCTGTGTTAATCAGGTCCTGCAGTAAGGTAGCAGTGTGAGTCTGAGCAAGGGAAGAACATAATTTACATTGAAAATAATAGAAAACCAAACATTGCCATTTGAAATCGTGGCAGCCTTTTTGGAAAGCAGTATGTCAGCGGCTTTAAAAACAAACAAAAACCCTTCAGTCTAACAGGGCCACTCCTGGAAATCCGCCTTAGAGAAGCACAACCATACGCTGCCTGTCTTTGGGCATTTCCTCAAGTGACGTTCATGGTGGCAGAAACCCACAGATAGCGCACATGCCCATCAGTGTGGGAGTGGCAGAGTAAATTATGAGGCAGCTTCACTGGGGAATATTATGCAGCCATTAAAAGTAATGATTTGATGTAGACCGTATTTGGAGGGATTTTGTGAGGTATTGTTGAATGAGAAAAGGAAATGCAAAAGGTATATCTTTGATAATCTCATTGTGGTCAAGCAGCGACATATATGTCTATGTACACGTGTGGGTATGTGAACATAGAGAAAGAAATGGAAGGATATGTACCAGGTAGATAACATGTGGGGGAGCTGAATAGAGGCTAAGGAATGAACAAAGGACAGTGGGAGCCAAGTGAAGAGTGAGGAGGAGGAAGAAGACTGCCCGCAAAGCCAGTGTGTATGTTGTAACGTCTGTTCATCTGTATGAGATCAGACACGTAGGTGGATGCATATCATGAATTCTAAAATACAATTGTAAAAGAAATTAAGTTACAGTTATAGAGAGCCTGCTGCTGACCTTTATAATGTTAAGAAGCATAGGAAAGATGTGAAAAGAGAATTCCCATCTCTTAAAATTGGAAACCTTGTTATTTAGGCCTTGAGGAAGGTTGGAGTGTGCTTTCTGCAGATGTCAGCGAGTCTCAGATCCGAGGTGATTTCCTGTGCAGCTCAGGTTGTAGAAGGAAGGAAGGCAGACCTCGACTTGCCTTTGTCGTTTGAACAGGCATGGCGATTTGTTGTTCCTGTTTCCCTCGAGCCTTGCTGGACCCTCATCTGAAATGGAAACGTCGACCCCACTGGGGTTAAAGGTCTTTGGCGCTCCTAATGTGGTGGAAGATGAGATCGACCAGTACCTCAGCAAACAGGACGGGAAGATTTACAGAAGCCGAGACCCACAGCTGTAAGTGCTCCTGGGATTCAGTCCCACCTTTGGTGATCCTAATGGATCAGTAAAGTGAAATATTGACAACATGTCCTGTTTGAATAAGTATGTGATGCAATGTTAAATTTTGAGTTTGACTATCTCTTTCCAGATTAAATTTCACTTCAAGTTATTTTGTAAGATTTTTCTCATTGTTTGAATCTCAGAGTATGTTCCATATATGCTTTGAAAGTCTCCAAGTATTTGGAACTAAGAGATTTGAAAGAAAGGAGGGGCCTTTTTTTTTTTTTTTTTTTTGGTGAGGAGATCAGCCCTGAGCTAACATCTGCCAATCTTCCTCTTTTTTTGCTGAGGAAGACTGGTCCTGGGCTAACATCCGTGCCCATCTTCCTTCACTTTATATGGGACACCGCCACAGCATGGCTTGCAAAGTGGTGCGTCGGTGCGCGCCCAGGATCCGAACCAGCGAACCCCGGGCCGCCGCAGGGGAGCGCGTGCACTTAACCGCTTGTGCCACTGGGCCATCCCCAGGAGGGGCCTTAAACTGAGTCTTTACCATGATGTACCCCTGGGGATACTTGACTGCCACAGGCAGAGTGGGGCTTTAGCAAGTGTGACAGGCAGGAGGAGGGCGGAGCAGAAGGGGTGATACTTGGGCACCTACTGGTGCCCGATCCTTGTTCAGTTCTCTCCTTTAATTAGAGTAGTGCAGTTTCAGCGTCATCTATGCAGTACACTGTTTTCATTCTTTTACGTGAATGTTTGATTTGCTAAATGTGCTGCTCCTTCTTTGAGTATTTGCTTTTCACTTAGGATTATATAAAATGCTTATGCTTGTGTATGTTTGCTTATTTTAGATTTTTTGCAATTCTTTTTAAAGAAATCAGTTAGAGACATCTGAGTTTACACTCAGTAATGTGAAATTATCTGAGCGAAGGTTGTTTGTCTCTACAGTGGAGTCTTTTGTAACTGCATCAATCTGTAAACATGATGGGGTGCTGACATTGAGATATTGGGATTCTAAATGCTGCATCAGCAACTTTTGTACGTCTTATATTAAAGAGCCCCAAATGGTGCTCAGCTGCAGTTGGTATGGAGCCACTTCGTGGTCATAGCCATTAGCCTGCATGCCTCTTCCATTTGCGTTTCCTCCCAGGGACCCAGTGCTAGCTCCCTCCATGATCTGTGTCTTCAAAGCTTCATTAGGAATCTTTTAGAGGGTGCTTGTGCACGTGTGCGCCTGCATGTACATTATGACCTGTCATCTGTGAGAGCCTGCCTTTTAGGAGACACAGGCCATCTCTACTCTAAAATGTAAAGCTCACATGCATCAGAGTTCTGACCTCATTTAGAAAGTTATCTGATTGAGCCCGGAGGGACCACTGCTTGGCTTTCCCATCAATCCATCACCACCCTCGTCACCTGAGCACATCTCCACTGTCATGTTGTACATATAGAGCTTCTGAGGTTTTTGTGACTGAAATGTCTGACACTCACAGAGCCAAGCATCCTTTATGCTTTTTTCCAAAGTGTGCATGAAGTGAGTGTTTTCCAAACTTGAGTTATTTATGTACCACTCTGAGAGTTTTTGACATATCTGCATATCACCTTTCTTAGTATTTATTTAACATTTGTATTTGAATTGACTTTAAATCCATTCACTTTTACTTTTAGTTTGTGTCATTTTAAGCAGTTACTATCCATGAAATCACAGGTTTGATGTGCTGGTCAATTTTTTCTAAAACACATCAAAATAAATGCTAAATGATTAAAATAAAAAAAAACATTCACCACGTACCGTTTAAAGTAATTTCACATGGGTAGGAAAATACTTTATTAAGTATGACGTACATTTTTAATATCAAAATCGTTAGGGGGCAGCAGCAGAAAAACAGGCAGGCTAATCACTGCGCGTTTCTTTTGCTCTCAGATGCCGACATGGTCCTCTGGGGAAATGTGTGCACTGCGTTCCTCTAGAGGTGAGAGTCCTTGCAGACTAAGTTCCAGGCTGAAGTGATGGGCTGCTTTCCAGAGCTGTCTAAATACTTCTCTAAGTCCCTGCACTTGGTTCTAGTGGCTCAAAGAACTTAACTATTTATTGCCCTGGGCCTCATATTCCCACTAGTGCAAGCTGCACAAAGAGGACAAGCCTTTATTTATGGGAGTGACCTTCTGGGTGGATTAGGAATGGCTATAGCATTTGTATTGCTCTGATAAAGGGGCAGCATTTACAGTAGGCTCCCTGGACAATCCTTTTAAAACCTGACACAAAGCTGGGTCTGGCAGTTTTCGTGCTCAACATTGTTTTGATTTACTTTGCCCTGAATCTCACATCTCTACTGATTTGTCCTGGTGAGATTGAGAGTTACCATAATAATGCTGACTGGTAACTGGTTAACGCTGAATTTATGGCGGCAAGGCCAACCTGATTTTCTTTGTGAGGCTCCTCTTGCGTCACCCTCTGGCTTTTTTTTTGCAAAATTTTCCTGATATTTACTTGACTTAGAGCATTTTGTATTTAATGTAGATTCATTTTAATCTCGAAAAGATAACTAGTACGCAAATAAAAGTTTGATTCTGACCTAGAATGATAAGTGAGAACAAAGCACCTGTTCTCCCTCATTGCCCTCCATGGGGCCTGGCTTGGAGAGGCCTCGGCTACCTGAGTCTCTCCCTGCGTGCAACGGAAGCTCGGCTGCCCACCTCTCTGTGCCTTGCAACCCCAGCAGGTGCATGACCATACTGACTGTGTGTGTCTTGGCAGCCATTCGATGAGGACTACCTAAACCATCTTGAACCTCCCGTGAAGCACATGTCCTTCCACGCCTACATCCGAAAGTTGACTGGAGGGGCCGACAAGTAAGCAGCTTGAACGCGGTTAGGCTGCAGCAGTGTGGCTTTGGTGCGCAGAAGTTCATTTTATGTATCTGGGAGGTGTTGCTTAGAGCCACTGTGCATATGAATGAGAAAAGTAACTTTCAGAATGGTCACGAAGCATTTGAATTCATGAGTTTTGCCCTGATTCTAGAAAAGAAACAGGTGAGTGGAGACTATGTCATGCCCTGCTGTAATCCATAGTGCCCACGGTGCTGGGCAGATGCCAGGCTGGCAGTTGTCACTGTGGAGGTCACTGGACGACCTCACCAACCTTCCCCTGGGTATTTGGTGCCCTGGTAACTTAGTTGTACATCAAATTGGAGCGGTCTCTCGGCTCCTTGAGTGCAGGTCGTGACAGTGGCCAGAGAGGGGCAAACTGAGGTATTTCAGTTTTTTTTAAACCACGTCAAGTACTTGTCTGTGCATCCCCTTGTGTTGACTGTGTGCTCCCCTTACCAGAGAGTAACGGGCTTCATACCATGATTTTATAATTCCTGTTCATGCAGCAGGAGGAGGTGGTGGCTGGATCTGTCAGCAACATTTTTTGAAGAATGTCACGTTGGCCTGATTGTAGCTTTTATCTCTGACAACCCACTGACATCCCAAAATGACTAAGTTATACCAGGAGAAAAAAATCCCACCAGAAACTCATTCTTGTCTGTTAGTGGGGTAAGCTATGGAACTTTCTGGACTAGGGAATGACTAGAGATTCGTTGTGGTGAAATCCGTCAGCCTTTTGTCACTCTAGGTCAAGTACCATAGTATCCTGTGGGGGCACATCTGTAGCTGTCATTAACATGCAGACTTGGCAGCAGTCATTGCTTCCCAGATGCCGCCATACTAGCGTGCTCTGTTAGGTTATGAAGATAAGACCGAGTTACTGGGCCATCTTGTGAATGTGACAACTGGCAAAGGGTGAAGTCACCTGTGCAGATTCACCCCAAGTTCAGAGTGAGGCCCAGGACTTCCTCAATGGTAGTCTTCTAACAGTAGTTTTTATTTTAGCCAAAGCAGAGGCAAGATATCTTTGTTTTGTGTCCAAATCAGATTTTTCTTATGAACAAGAATTTTTTACAGATATCTAAGTACTAGACTCTTAATGTAAAAGCTGCTGTTAAATGAATGAAACTTAAAAAGACTTCATTTGCTCTTAGTGGCACAGGTTAGATCAATAGATTTAACAGTGTTCTTGGAAATCTTCATGGGTCTTAGTGATAGTGAAAATTAAAACTGTTTTTATAGGAAAATAGTTATATATTCATGTACAGTACAGTCTAAGTGTACAGGACAGAAGCTAGAACTCCATTAGAATAATTCTTAGCACAGTTTCTCTGCTGCTGCCTACCAAATGCTTAGCTCCTTAGAACTCTGTTCAGGAGGTGTAAGATATTTGACATATTATTTCCAGTCTCCTGCTAAACTTTGCACCATTGTAATGTTTAGTTAATTAAGTTGCTTCTTCTTATTCAGGGGGAAATTTGTTGCCCTGGAGAACATCAGTTGCAAGATTAAATCAGGGTGCGAGGGACATCTTCCGTGGCCTAACGGCATCTGTACTAAGTGCCAGCCAAGTGCCATCACGCTGAACAGACAGGTGAGATGTTCACTGTGTCCGTCTAGACAGCAGAAAGCAGTAGACTTGTTTTCATGGCTGAGAAATGAAAATTTCTGGAAGAGCCCCTCCTTGGAGAGGAGCTGCCGCTAGCAGAATACATTACGTGTGACAGATTGCCAGGTATTTTTTGACAGATCAATTGGCCTTTTGTGGAGATCACACACTGAAGACAATGTTTGTAAGATCGCTAACTCTTGCAAGTACAGAGGGCAGCCTTCGGTTTTTTGTTTTGTCAGCTTGCATGGAGGCAGAATTTCCTTGGTGAGTGTTTAAAATGCTAAGCGGTTGTAACTCTGGCTTTTGAGAAACCATGGCTCTGGACGTTGGTAACAGAACTGGGACCAGCTCAGGACACCTGTCCAGGCCAGGCGAAGAAGGGAGCTGGGCTTAGGAAGGAGAGAAAGAACCAGGGAAATTTGGGTGGGGTTATTGTGGCCTTTTCTGCTCTTGTCATCGTGCCCTCTGAGAATAACCCACCTCATCTTTTCCCTGCCACTGCCGGCCCACGTTTGGCTTCTTAGCGAGAATTCCATGGCCTTCTTGACTGTTTGGAAACTTCTTTCTTCCTTTTTTTTCTCTCTTTCCCTACATCCACCTCTCTTCTCTCTTTTTGAAAACTGTTCTTCGCACTAGAGATTGTGAAAACCCACATTTTAGGTGAAATCTCAGTAAGATTAATTTGAATTAATTCATTGAGGAACCCCACCCCTACCTGACCCACCCACTAGAATCTGAAATGGTCTTAGGGACAGAGCACATTCTTAAAACTTGTGAGCGTGTGTGTGTGTGTTTACAGAGCTAGGTAAGAGATATTTGTGAATGGTTTGTACTAGAAAAATGAATTATTTATTTTTGATGGAGTGTTTTCATTTAGCCCATTGTTGTTAACTCTACAGAAATACAGACATGTGGACAATATTATGTTTGAGAATCACACAGTAGCCGATCGCTTCCTTGACTTCTGGAGGAAGACAGGGAACCAGCATTTCGGGTACTTGTATGGCCGGTATACGGAGCACAAAGACATTCCTCTTGGCATCAGGGCTGAAGTAGCTGCAATTTACGAACCTCCTCAGGTAGACATGTATAGGATTTCTGGGTCTCTGCATTCTCTGGTTTGAGGGCTGTGTGGGATGCCTTTTCAGATTTTGTTTTCCTTCTTTTGCTTCATCATTTGCCCAATCTGTCTCTCTCCACACCACCCTCCCCCCCCACAGTAGTTATGTTCTGAATTATTGGAGAGTAAGATCACGGCCCCTAAATATTTCAGTGAGTGTTTCCAAAGAATAAGGATATTCACTTACATAACAAGTATATTTATATCAACTTAAGTAAATTGAACGTTGATACAACATTTTTAATTTAAGCTGCCATCTGTATTCTAGTTTTGTCAGTTGCCCCAAAAGTGTCTCACAGTTGCTTCAGCACTTGTCTTATACAGATCTTCCTCTACTTACGATGGGGTTATGTCCTGATAAACCCACTGTAATTCGAAAATGCATTTAATACACTAACCTACTGAACATCATAGCTTAGCCCAGCCTCCTTAAATGTGCTCAGAACACTTACATTAGCCTGTAGTTGGGCAAAATCACCTAACACAAAGCCTGTTTTACAATAAAGTGTTGACTATCTTATGTAATTTATTGAATACTGTACTGAAAGTGAAAAACAGAGTGGTTATATGATTGTTTACCCTCATGATAATGTGACTCACCAGGAGCTGTGGCTTGGTGCCACTGCCCAGCCTCACAAGAGAGGATAGCACTGAATATTGCTAGCCTGGGAAAAGATCAAAATTCAAAATTTGAAGTACAGTTTTTACTGAATGCATATTGCTTTTGCATCATCGTAAAGTTGAAAAATCATGTCACACCATCCTAAGTCAGGGACCGTCTGTAATTCTGTGTCTCCTCCAGCAACAGTCAGCTATCCCAGGGATGATGGAATTAGAGAATCACAGAATTACTCATGTTCTATACCCCATGCCATACACACTGTTCCGGAATAACAGTACCACAATCACCACTGGTATAGAACTGAAAACAGTTTAAGATTTTTTTGGTGGGAGGGGGAGAGTCTTTAGGGTGTATCCCACTAGGGACATGCGATTGGTTAGTATGTTTTAAAGTCACTTGGAAGGTCGTCTCTGTGTGATTATGCCACCAGCTAATTATATATTTTAAAGATTTTTTTGTTTATTTTATTTTTTCCCCCCAAAGCCCCAGTGGATAGTTGTGTGTCGTAGCTGCACATCCTTCTAGTTGCTGCACGTGGGACTCGGCCCCAGGATGAACGGAGAAGTGGTGCCTCGATGCGCACCCGGGATCCGAACCCGGGCCACCAGCATCGCAGTGCGCGCACTTAACCACCAAGCCACAGGGCCGGCCCTAATTATATATTGAGTTAGACGTTTATGTTCATTTGTTTTATTTTCAATCTTCAGGGATTGGTTTTGTATACATATATGTATATATATTTTTAAATTTTATTTATTTATTTTTTCTCCCAAAGCCCCAGTAGATAGTTGTATGTCATAGCTGCACATCCTTCTAGTTGCTGTATGTGGGTAGACTACACACAAAATCCGTATAAATACAGCCAGGGAAAACAATGGCATTTGTGTAGTCCCCCTATGTGGGACGCGGCCTCAGCATGGCCAGAGAAGCGGTGCGTCGGTGCGCGCTCAGGATCCGAACCCTGGCCGCCAGCAGAGGAGTGCGCACACTTAACCGCTAAGCCACGGGGCTGGCCCTGTATACATATATTTTTTTACTTGTTATATAACTATATAAAATATTGTGGTACATTTCATTATATGTAAGTTGACTACAAAAGTGAAAACTGTAAACATGTTGAATTCTAGTTAATGAAATGCATGCTGAAGTAGTTAGGGGGAGGTGTACTTGTGTCTGTAGTTTACTGTGAAGTGCAACAAAAAAATAAGGTGGATTGAGTGATGACTAGAGGGATGGCTAGAATGCAGTAAATATTAATGGCTGAATCTAGGTGGTGGGTATATGAATGTTCACCCTAAAATTCTTTAAACTTTGTTGTATGTTTGACACTTTTTATTAAAAAAAAAGTTGGAAAAGAAAAAAAATTTGTACATTTCCAACATCAGATCTACAAACAAGACATTCCCCTTCATCGTGTTTCTTCCCTTCCCCCACAAGTAGCCCCCACTTTAAAAAATTTTTGGTTTAGACTTCTAAAGTTTGATTTTTTTAAGATAAGCAGATACACACACAGACGTTCATACTATTCCCCTCCCTTGTTTCTTTGGATATATACCATACTGTTCACACCTTTGTTGCCTTGCACTGTGTTCTGGAGATTGCTCCATGACTGGCCTACTTTTTTTTTTTTTTTTTTTTGGTGAGGAAGATTGGCCCTGAGCTAACATCTGTGCCAGTCTTCCTCTCTTTTGTGTGTGGGTCGCCACCACAGCATGACTTGATGAGTAGTGTAGGTCTGCACCTGGGATCCGAACCTATGCACCTGGGATCCGAACCTATGAACCTGGTCCAATGAAGCAGAGCATGCTGAACTTAACCACTATGTCACCGGGCGCCCCCCGCCACTGGCCTACTTTTTAAATAAAGCAGGATCTAAAACTGCAGGCCTCATCGCCAGTGGCTGGTATACAGGTCTGTGGCTCTTGAATAAATGCCATTGTTTTCCCTGGCTGTATTTATACGGATTTTGTGTGTAGTCTACCTGCCCCTGACATTTTCGGTATTTCCTGAGAGCTGCAGATGAAGAGTTTGACAAGGCCTTTGTGATGGTTCATTTAGAAGGAGACACTAGGGGCTGGCCCCATGGCGTAGTGGTTAAGTGCGTGTGCTCCGCTGCTGGTGGCCTGGGTTTGGATCCCGGGCGCGTACCAACGTACCGCTTATCAGGCCATGCTGTGGCGGCGTCCCACATAAAGTAGAGGAAGATGGGCACAGATGTTAGCTCAGGGCCGGTCTTCCTCAGCAAATAAAGAGGAGGATTGGCATGAATGTTAGCTCAGGGCTGATCTCCCTCACAAAAAAAAAAAAGGAGACACTAGATGGCAACAGACACCCTACAAGAGACCCTGATTACCCACCCCTTAGGGCGCGAAGTGTGCTCTGCAATCGGGAGGCTGCTTTTTGAAGCACAAGATGTCCAAAGTTGGTTTTGTAGAGGGTCTCTTTTTTTTTTCCTTTATTGTGAAATTTTTATTGTACGTTATTATTTGTCAGTCACCATATAAATGTATCCCTTCACCCCTTGTGCCCACCCCCCACCCCTCTTCCCCCTGGTAACCACCAAACAGTTCTCTCTGTCCGTGTGTTAGTTTATCTTCTACTTATGAGTGAAATCGTGTGGTGTTTGTCTTTCTGTAGAGGATCTCTTTCATGAAGGGTTTCAACTGTTCTGTCAAGAATAGGACTAAACAAAAAATTGGAACTGAAACCTCTGGTGACATGGGCCGGCGCCATGGCTTAGCAGTTAAGTGCGCGCGCTCCGCTGCTGGCACCCCAGGCATGCACTGATGCACCGCTTCTCCGGCCATGCTGAGGCCGCGTCCCACATACAGCAACTAGAAGGATGTGCAGCTATGACATACAACTATCTACTGGGGCTTTGGGGGGAAAATAAATAAATAAATAAAATCTTTAAAAAAAAAAAAAGAAACCTCTGGTGACCAGATTGCTAACATCATCATCTGAGCTCCCAATTTGGGCATCCTGGAGGTTGAAACAGTTGACCTCTAATAACCTCCAGCTCATTAGAAGTTGAAGCTCATGCTGCTGCATGTCATGAAACAAAATCCTTAGATTTTTTCTGAATTTGTGACTTGACCTATGCTCTGGAGGTATTAATGATCTCCATATGAGTAATACCCAGCAGTATAATGTTCTTTTGTTGTTTTTGCCAGAATTTGACTAATTTACAAGGGCATACCCAGTTAGTATAACTCAATTTGGGATTACTTTCACTTTCCTATTCCTATGGCCGGCGTTTATGCTCTGTATAATACTTACTATTAATGACCCACAAGCTGCAGTTCAGTGCAGATTAAAGGTTTCAGCAAGCTTTGTCCACTGCAGGCAGTTAGGGACCTGTGGCCAGTTTAGGTTGCATGTGAGCCAGCTGGAGCCCGAGCCCACCTACTGCCCCGAGCTGAGCACTCTGCCCACCTGCCAGCAGGTTACCTATTGCAGATGCCTTCTCATTTGCTTAGGGTATGTGTGTCTGTCACTCTCTCAGTATCTTACCAGTGAAGCTAAGCATTGTCCCTGTAGGAGCTGCACACGAATTTCCCAAGGCTGTTTTCTGGGAACAAATGTTACCTTACAGTTCTCATCTTGCCTAACCTAGCCACAATCTATTTGGAGTGAGACAGTTTATCCAAGGGAGTTTTGAAACTAACTTCTTTGCACAACGAAGGAACCCTAAAAAACTGTGTAGAGAGCCTTCCTTAGTCCTGAACAACCACACACTCGATATGGAGCTGTCTGACATAAAGCTGCCTGAATAGTGCATTTTTATGTTTGAACATCTCTGAGTCTTGATTAAAAGCACAATGCAACCTGAGAAGGGAAAAGCCTGGAGGGGTTTGGGTTGTGTTTTATCTGGTTGCCTTGAGCTTTGCTGCTGCTGTCACTCTCCTTTTTGGCAAAGGGGGGAACAGTGCTCCTTTGTGACCCCTGAGCCAAAGATGGAGCAGAGTAGTTCTGCTGCTTTTCTGAGCCCACTGCTCTAAATCCATCTTCTCCCGTTAATGCCCCGACAGATTGGTACACAGAACAGCTTGGAGCTTCTTGCAGACCCAAAAGCGGAAGTGGTTGATGAAATTGCTGCCAAACTCGGCCTGAGGAAGGTACTGAGGCATTCTGTTCACCTTTGAGGGGGGACTTGGGCTCTGTGTTGGGGACTTCCAGGTGGGTGGCATGGCCAGACCTCCTTTGGGACTGAACTCCCAGCTGTACAAAGTCAGGTGCAGGCCTGGCTCGTTTTGAAGCCTTGTTTGTGTTTATTGGGTGCCAATAGCTTTTATATATCTCTGATTTAAAGTTAAATGAGAACATTTCCCCGAGCATAAAAAAAAAATTGATCCCAATGCAGGAGCTGTTATATTTAAGTCCGCCAGCCACACTTCTGGAGGACTGCTTCAAAGGGGAGAGGAAAGAAGCAGCAGGGGCAAGACCCCTTCTTCCTACCCGAGAGGGGACCTAGATGCCAGGCTGTGTGTCCTGCCTACCCCACTGTGGCACGTCCTCTTAGGTGTAAGCTCTCCCTTCATGTGTCTTTGCTACCTAGCACAAAGGCCCTGTTCACAGTGTCCTTTTTCTGTCCCATGCGCTTGGAGCTTCTGGTGTTCCTTCCTTAGTCATCATTGAATTTCCTGTTTATAATTTAGGTGTCTGTGCATGTAAGCCTTTCGAGTTTTACTGGGCAGTTAGAAGATAGGGAAGAAATTTCTTTTTGAGTCTAATGATCTAGTTTGTCTCGCGTACTTGATAAAGTTCCCAGGGACTTTAAAGATGAGTTTTTATAGATACGTGTGGAACTGTGAATATGAACACATCTTAGAAGGTCACTATTAATAGCTATGTAAGTTTTATCTTTTGTGTCCTAATCAATTTAGACAGTGAAAAAATAAACTCCCTACAGATAAATGGGGGAAAGCTGGAAATGTGCTTTGTAACCTAGGAATGTTATAGAGCAAGTCATTGGGCCATTTTAAGAAAAAAGTTTTATGAGAAAAATGTCCTATTGTTTCTACAAGGAGTCTACATCTTGATTTAGGGTCATATTTTGGTTTAAATTCTGGAAGTTTCTTGTTCAAAAGAGAAATCGGTACAATTTTTTGACTTACGTGGGTTATGTTATATAGACATATACTTTGTGATAATCATAACTATAACAGAAGATCTTGAAGTTACTATAGTAGAAGATCTTGAAGTTACTTTTTCTTTTTTTTTTTGGTGAGGAAGATCAGCCCTGAGCTAACATCCATGCTAATCCTCCTCTTTTTGCTGAGGAAGACCGGCTCTGAGCTAACATCTATTGCCAATGCTCCTCCTTTGTTTTCCGCAAAGCCCCAGTAGATAGTTGTACATCATAGTTGCACGTCCTTCTAGTTGCTGTATGTGGGACGCAGCCTCAGCATGGCTGGAGAAGCGGTGCGTCAGTGCGCGCCCGGGATCTGAACCCGGGCCACCAGCAGTGCGCGCACTTAACTGCTAAGCCACGGGGCCGGCCCTCTTGAAGTTACTTAAATGCCTTCCTCCGAAACACTAGTTCCTCACCCTTATTTATCTCAGCTTAATCTTGATTCTGCTCTATTTACTGCTTAATTCCATTTATCCTTTAAGTCTCGTCTTCTTCATTGCCATCCTCCTTGGGTTTTTTGTTCATTGGGCTTTTTTAAAGAAAATGGAAGTCTCCAAATTTGCCTGATCCTGTATGTAGGAGATGGATTTGAAGAGTTCAATATCAGGGTTGTGCTGGAGCAGGTCACGGGCACCAGATCACTTCTCCAAAGGACAGAAATGGGATACCTGGATTCCAGCCCCACTCATAAACCTCCCAGCCAGGCTCTGGTTCAGTAAGGGGAACCAGCTGTGAAGTTCACGGGCGAAGTCCCCAGGGATCACGGAGCACACAGACAAACAGTGTGGCTGCAGCAGAACACACTGGGGAGGCTGACCCTGTCCTGAGCTTTGGGACCAGTGTCAGGGTGCCCCAATGATTGGGTCTTTCAGATCCTTGTACCCTCAGATGCTTCCTTTAGCCCTGAAGTGGGGCTCAAAGGAGCAGCTGGGGGAAGTTCCATTGTGTTATTCCTTCTTATATTAAGTACCTTCTCTAGGGAGTCTATTTTGTTGTCTTGCAGAGAAAGTCCTGGCATCTGAGACGGCATCATCTTGATTTGCTTGCTCGTTGTCTGTCTTCCCCTTTGGAATATAAGTTCCCCTTTCACTGACATTCTATTAATCTTGTTCACTCTGGGGTCCCCTGCACCTAGCACAGTGCTGAGCACAGAGTTGGTGCCACGGAAGGGTTTTTCTAATGAATACATGAGCTCTGCTCATTTGCCCTCATCTCAAACCCAGCAGCACCAGAAGGAGAGTGGCCGGTTTCAGCTAAGCAGAGTTTGAAAGCCCTGGTGTGGCCTAATAGCTTAGTTGAGGAACTGACTCACAAGAGTCTCTTACTGAGACCATTATTATTAAGCTCTCTGGGCAGAAGCCAGAAAACATTGGTCATCTATTTCAGGGAAAGACTCAGAGGATATTTTCCTTTTTTATGCAGGTTGGTTGGATATTTACAGACCTCGTCTCGGAAGACACCCGAAAGGGTACAGTTCGATACAGTCGAAATAAGGTGAGGTGGGACAGGAATGCTCGCTTAGCCTGCATCTTGGTTACAAACCAGCTCTGGTTCATGCTCTCGGGGGGTCTCTGCACAGCTTGTCCTGGCTTTTAGACCAAATTATTTTCCAACACAGTATTCTTGATAAATTAAGGCTGGGTCTGTTGATTCTGTCTCATAGAGCAAAACTCACTTGACCTTTACAGCCAGTTCTTTTTGGAAGTCAGCCTGTGGGGTGGGTTGCCTAGTGCTTCGGGCCTTACTAGTTATGCGTGGTTTTATATGGAGAGTCCGTAATGGCTAGGAATTGTACGTATTTGTTTTAACGTAGTTTTTGACATGTTATAGTTTGGTTCTTAATATTTTCTAAAGAAGAAGTAGAAGCATATTTTGACATGATGCTGTAAAATTTGATATACTGGTTCTCTTATCTTAGGACACGTATTTCCTGAGTTCGGAAGAATGTATCACTGCAGGAGACTTCCAAAATAAGCATCCCAATATATGTCGACTCTCTCCAGACGGACATTTTGGCTCCAAGTTTGTTACTGCAGTGGCTACAGGTATAAGTGGGGACAGTTATGTTGTAAATATTACTACCTTGTTAATATGTTTTGTTGCTCTTTCAGTAGCTTTTCATCCTTAACTCAGTTACAACAGGTTTTCTTAATGGGTCTGTGAGACACAGATTCCTCTTTTTGGTTTGTGGTAACCAAAACTTAGGCTGAACTTATCAGCATCACCCACGAAATTACTAGAATTGGGGCCTCAGTGTAGCTCTTCTCTAGTCCACCCTCTCATCCCCAGTCCATGTTAACCTGGTTCTGGATCTGAGCTTGGGGTTGCGTTTGCTGCTTTCCAGTAACCAAAGATAACTCTCTGTCTGTCTATGTAGGAGAAAAGAGACGTACTGTTTCTATTACTTGTTTATTTTTGATATTATGAATGGGAGTGTCATTTTAAGAAACCATTTCCGTAAAGCTTTTTTGGTGGTGACATGCATATTGTGATGTTACATATATTATATTATGTGTTATGTTCATCATAAATATATAATAATAAAAGATTGCAGCCTGTAAAAAAGGTGCCACCAAATCTTTTATAACATGCTTGAGATCCTATCCTAGAAAAAAGCAGACATAGGACCATGCAATTTAAAAGGAATAGGAATTTGAAACTTGGAGAACCAACTCATAAAAACATAATCTATTTGGTCAGTTTTTAAAAGTAAACGATAGGGGGGCCGGCCCGGTGGCGTAGTGGTTGGGTGTGTGCGCTCCATTTCGGCGGCCCAAGGTTTTGCAGGTTCGGATCCCGGGCGCGCACCGACACACCACTTGTCAAGCCATGCTGTGGCGGCATCCCATATAAAGTAGAGGAAGAGGGGCACGGATGTTAGCCCAGCGCCAATCTTTCTTGGCAAAAAGAGGAGGATTGGCATCAGATGCTATCTCAGAGCTGATCTTCCTCACAAAAAAATGAAATAAAATAAAGTAAAAGTAAACAATAGAGGCTGGCCTGGTGGTGTAGTGGTTAAGTTCCTGCGCTCTGCTTTGGCAGCCTGGGGTTTGCAGGTTCAGATCCTGCGTGTGGACCTACACACTGCTTATCAAGCCATGCTGTGGTGGCGTCCCACTTACAAAGTAGAGGAAGATGGGCACAGATGTTAACCCAGAGCCAGTCTTTCTCAGCAAAAAGAGGAGGATTGGCAACAGATGTTAGCTGAGGGCTAATCTTCCTCACTAAAAAAAAAAAAAATGTAAACAATAACCTTGATTTTGTGAAGACCTGGTTTCTACTGTCACAGAGATGATAATCCAGTTCATTCATGGTAACCATCCTTCCCCTAGTTCTGTGGAAAGAAACACCCCCCAATTTAACAAACACCAGTTTACAGACAGCTCACATATGTAAGTAACTGGATCCTCTGTTAATTCCAGTTAAGCCTGTTAGCACTGCTATGGGAGCCATGAAGAAAAACATCTTTCATACTACCTGAATTTTTAAGATCTGTTGATTTAAGATCCATTTAGCTTCATAGACACCTTCTTTTTGAAATGAATGTACTTTTGAGTAAGAAGCAATGACAGCATCTTGCACATGTTAGTCTGAATTAGTTGAATCAGATTTATTTTCCTAAATTCTTGTTGGGTCAGGTGCTTAAGGGAGTGGCTGGGACTTTTTACTAGGGTTAAGGGAGACAGTGATTCTGCAGCATAGGATCCTTCTGTGAGGGAGCCTGGGCAGGGCCCTGTTGTGATGAGAGCGCTCAGGGCAGCAGGAGAAGGGCTGAGACTGGACGCCAGGGAGGGGAGCAGGGAATAGACACTCTCTACAGAATCCAGAATTTTGCCAAGCCAGCTCTGTATTTGACGAAGGGGATAAAAGTATTATCTTTCTACTGCCTGCATCACATAACCCTTCCCTCTTCAGTTAGGCTGATATTCTGCATAAAGTAGTTTAGACTGGTAGTTTTCAAACCTATCAGACCGGACACCCCCTTCTTAGAACATTTTGTGATGCCCCTGTACTATGTAGAAAATAAAATTCATGGATAACATACCTGTCTACACACATAATTCTAAAAAAGAAAGCAGAATAGTAGCCTAACTATAACGTAAAGGAGAAATAATAGTAACGAAATATGTAATAAAACAGTACATTTCAGGGCCGGCCCCGTGGCTTAGTGGTTAAGTGCGTGCGCTCCGCTGCCGGCGGCCCGGGTTCGGATCCCGGGTGTGCACCGAGGCACCACTCGTCCAGCCATGCTGAGGCCGCGTCCCACATACAGCAACTAGAAGGATGTGCAGCTATGACAGACAACTATGTACTGGGGCTTTGGGGGAAAAATAAATAAATAAAATCTTAAAAAAAAAAAAAAAGATCCCCTTCGGGGACATGTCTTTGGGAATGGGATACAAAAAAAAAAAAAAAAACAAACAAACAAAAAAAAAAACAGTACATTTCAGCATGTCAGTGCTTGGGGACTGATGCCTGTGTGGAGGTAGGCCCTGCACAGGCTGGATGGCAGGTCACATCCGCTGGCCTCACCATCAGTGACCTGGTTTCCTGAGACACTCAGTGACTCTCTATGAAGCTCTGAGCTGAACAGTGTCCCTTCCCTCAGCTTACATGGTAGCACACTCTTAGAGAATTCATCGCGTGTTAAAACTACGTATGTTTTTTGTGTGGAGATATATATATATATGTAAAAGCACAAATGATTCTAATCTCAGATCATCATAAATAAGGATTCTTGCCTACATGAGTGTGCAGGGACATTCAAGGTCAGATGGAATGTGGAACAGTTCTTTGCTCTGTGGGACTCCCCTGAACACAGTGAGACATCTAACATCTTTGGCTCCAGCCCACTAAAGCTGGCAGTCCTCCCCTCATCGTTGAGACAACCAGAAATCACCTTCACAGATTTCTAGAACTGCTCCTCATGAGGACTGCTGTTTTAGTCTTCCATGGGCTCCCATGGTAACCTAACCCTTTTAATTACTGTTTCTATGGGGAATTATTCCATGGGCCAAAAGAACTGGCACATTTTTGGAATTATAAATAGTTTCTAACTTGGGGGCTGCCTGTACCTTCAATTATTGAGTCATACTTGTTGAGAGTTTGGAAATTATGAATCGTCCATGGAATTTTTGCCTCTGAAATCGGCACTTTACTGAAAGGTTTTAGAGCTATGAGACAGTAAATAATTTATGATAAAGTCTGCAGTTAGAGTCCTTTCACGTGCCTGCTGAGTTATCCTTCTTGTGAGATGCTCAGACTTACAATTCTCTCCCTTTTTCAGGGGGGCAGCCACTGGAAGGGTGGTTATTAAAAGCATCGTAGATCTCCTAACTCCACATTGAGTGTACTCTTCCCCTACATCAGTGGTTCTTGACCAGGGACGTGTCAGTACTCTGTGGAGCTGTTTGAAACATACTTACCACATTTCCATCCCTGAGACCCTCATGGGACGAGAAGAAGCAGGCCTGTCTGTGTGGCTGTCTCCCAGGAGACTGACCATTGTATCACTGGGTTCATGGTGCTTCTGCAGGCGCAGTGCCCTCAGTTCTGCCCAAAGCTGCTGCTGAAGCTGCAAGCCCAGGTGCTGGCCGGGACACGGAGGCCTTGCCCCCTTGCCTCCTGTCTGTATACCCCTCCCCTCAAGAATTTCTCTAGCATGAGACCTTTAGAGAGAAAGAGTAATGATTATGTGTGGTGTTTGCTCACGTGAACCTGAAGGATCTTGTGGAAGGAGAATGCATCACAGAGCCCGAGTTTAACTCCCTGCCACAATGCTAGGGTCTGTGTCTTGGTCATTGGCACACCCATTTCTTTGGGCTGTCAAATTTACTTTCTGAGGCTGCATCTCAGCCTCTGTAGCAGCAGAGTACTTTCTGTCACTGCCCCTTTCCATCCCACGTGTGAATTTCCTGACAGGCTGATTTGGGAAGGTAATGATAGTTAATTTATCTGGCCTTCTTTGCATCTCGGCCAGTATTAGGTTTCTGGCAAGGTTAAATAAACCCACCAGGACTTGGGTTCTTGCTACTCCACATGGAAAAAGGAGCTTGCACTTCTCAGTGAATCTGTCTTTGGAGACTATCCATATGGACTAATTTTGCTTTTTTTTAACAGCCTTCAATTTTACATATACTGCTTTCTATTTTTCTTTGGTTCTCTACGGCCAGGTTTCTCTTTCTCTAATGACCTATCACACTTTAATGATCAATCTAAAAACCAGTGCAGGTTTACAGTGCCCAAAGTAGAACAGTGGCCAGGCGCACACACCACGGGCAGCTCCTCCACACTCCTCCACAGCCTTCACCTCTGCTGCTTCTAAACCAGCATGCTCACTGTGGTTGACGTTCATATCACGGAACACACCAGAGGGTGAAGTGCCCCGTGTTTGCCTCCTCAGTGTTAATGAGTGGTCATTGCCCAGGCTTGGCCACCTCTCCCACGTGTGTGAGTGAGGGCCAGAGATAAGGTGCTAGACGATTGTCGAGTGGGCCTTTGGAGCCCAGTTTGACTCAGCATTTGGAAGCCAGCTGCTATTGGCCTCCCGTGTGCAGAGTCGAGCAGACGTAGGCCCGTGGCTTCTCCCTCCGGAGGCTGGCTCTGCCCCTGTCCTTCACATTTTCTGATTGCTTGGCCATCAGGTCTGGTTTCTGGTAAATCTTTGAAAGCCAGACAGGCAAAATTTCTGTTCCCTGATCAGTAACTTATTCTGTTTTTGTCAAAGAAGCTAAAATAGAGATATTGAGGGTTTTTTTTTTAATTCTCCAAAGCCATAAAAAATAACGGATGTTAGAGTTGTCAGAGTGTAACCTGGGTTCTGGAAACACGAGTATCTGTGGTGAGTGGAGTTCGCCATCTGCACAGTCTGGTCTTACCTCTTCCAAAGGCTCGGGACCCACCTTTCACACCGGGGCCTGTCCTTCTCGCTTCAGGTTGTTCTTGTTTCAGCCAGGTTCCTGCTCTGTTTAACTTGACCAGATCATTCCCTCTCAGCAGCTTTTTGCACTACTCTTGCCCTTAATTCTGAGTCAGATTGCAGGTTTTTATGGAGTGGGTTTGAGAGAGAGGTAAAGAGTGAACGATGTGCAGGGTGATGCACGGGGCAGTGAAAGCAGTACGTGTGGGATTGTCAGTGAGGAGACCTGGGCTAGGGGTCCCTGTGCTGCCCACGACTCCTGTGGTGGCATCTACGACTCCTGAACATGGTGACTAAACGACTAAATGCAGTGGCTGTACAGGTTTCCGTAAGGTAGAGAAGTACTAGCATTGTTTTTGCTGAAAATGGTTTCTGTCTCGTTCTTCTCCCATCCGCTCCCATACCTCTCCCTGCCTCCAGATGAATTCATCCCCCTGTCTCCCCCCATTCACTGAAGAACAGAAGTTTGCTGAAATGCAGGGTTCTATCTGTTGTTCACACCGCTGGTGTAATTAAAAACCAAAAGCCCAAGTACTTGATGACACTAAGCCTAGGTTTGGGCAGATATTTGAGAATGTTGAACAATCTTGTTTCTCAGTTTTGGGAGAACATGTAATTGTTGCGACTTGTTTGAGGAGCTGCAGCGGCGTCTCCATGCCCTGCATTCAAGGCCTTGTGCTCAAGCTACTCATAAAATTGTCATCAAACATTTTTGAATTCTTACCCAAGACAAACTCTTGAGAGTTTGTTTGTTCTGTTGGTCCGAAGTGAAGAGTAACAGATATGGACTTGTTTTGAATATCCTTTGGTGGATTCTCATTGAAGGTCTCTCTCTTGCAGGTGGTCCCGACAATCAGGTCCACTTTGAAGGGTACCAGGTGTCTAATCAGTGCATGGCGCTGGTCCGTGATGAGTGCCTGCTGCCGTGCAAGGACGCCCCTGAGCTCGGCTACGCCAAGGAGTCCAGCAGCGAGCAGTATGTGCCTGATGTGTTTTATAAGGTAAAAATATGGTGGTACAAAAAAGAATTAAATAGATGGAGAACAGTGTGAACACTGACCTGTCTTGGACTTTACTAATTTTGGTACATTGTGGCCATATTAGCTGTTTATCAGCCGTGGTTGTCTAGAGCCCAGCTTGTGGGTAAAGGCATTCCATAACATTTCTGGGGCTTATTATTAGCTACTAAGGCATTTATGATGTTAGGGCTTATAACCAGAAGTGGAAATAACATGCACTGGGTTTGGGATATATAACTCCATATCAAACCATTGCAACACACAATTTCAGTTTCTAAAAATGAGAAGATTGGTATATGTCAGGGCCTCACCAGGAGTGAAAAATGGAGCTCTGTGGTCAGTAATTAAGCTAAGCTAACAATTTAGATATAATTGTCCACTTCTAAATCTTTCTTTCTTATGAAAGCTATAAAAACTGTTTGTATTGAAAAATGTTGTCCTGTTTGAACATGTAGGAGTTTGGTGCTTCCCTGTAGGACTGGAGACGTGATTCTCATCCTCAGCTCGGGAGTTGGTCCTGGTCATAATCAAGGCACCTTCTGGTCCCCAGTCTGGGCAGACCTGGGTTTCCGTCTGGCAGCATTCTACTGTCTGGAGGATTCCTTCACTATTTTTTATAGTGCAGGGCAGCTTTTGTATGTCTAACAGTATTTTGTGTTCGTTTTGAAGGATATTTTCTTTTTTTTTTTTTTTTTTAAATTTTTTGTTTATTGCAGTAACATTGGTTTATAACATTGTAAAAATTTCAGGTGTACATCATTGTACTTCTACTTCTGCATAGATTACATCATGTTCACCACCAAAATACTAATTACAACCCATCACCACACACATGAACCCAATTATCCCTTTCACCCTCCTCCCTCCCCCCTTCCCCTCTGGTAACCACCAATCCAATCTCTGTCCATATGTGTTGAAGGATATTTTCACTGTGTAAAGAATTCTAGCTTGCCAGGTTTTCTCCACTGTCATCTCACTTGCAGTGTTCCAACAGGAAGTTAGCTGTCACCCTCATATGTTCCTCTGTCCATAATGTGACTTTTCCCACTGGCTGCTTTTTAGATCCTTTCTTTATCACTGGTTTTTAGCAATTTGATCATGATGTGCCTGGGTAGTTTTCCTCGTATATCCTGTGTCTGGGGTTTGTGGAGCTTTTTGGGTCTGTGGGTTGGTAGTGTTATTTTTTTGCTATTGTATTCATTTTCTGTTGCTGCCATACCAAATTGCTGTAGACTTGGTGGCTGTAAAACAACACTCGTTTATCATCTCACAGCTCTGTGGTCAGGAGTGGGCAAAGCTCAGCTGCGTGCTCTGCTCAGGGTCTGTCCAGGCCGCAGTCGTGTTGGCTGGGACTTTGATTTTGTCTGAGGTGCAAGGTATTGGCAGCACTTGGTTCCTTGGTGCCTGGTCCTCTGGCCGTTCAGCATGGCAGTTTATTGCTTCTTCCTTAAGACCCGCAGGAGCGTCTCTCTCTGACTTCTGCTTCTGCTGCCAGCACAACCCTTGAAAGGGCTCATGTCATGTGATTAGGCCCATTCAGATGATCCAAGGTCATCTCCCGATTCTGAGGTCAGTTGATTAGTAACCTAATTACACTTGCTAAATCCCCTTTGCCATGCAAGGGACCATATTCATGGGCATGATTTCTCATCATATTCACAGTCCTGGGGAGGAGGGCAGGAAATATTTCAGGACCGTTTTTAGGATTCTGCCTTTGTCAGCCATTCAGTTTTTTTTTATTGCTCCCTCTCCTCCAGCGACTTGAATCACATGTGCGTTTGGCTGCTTGAAGTCATCCCATAGCTCCTTGATGCTCTGTTCGTTTCATTTTAGTCTGGTTTTTTTTTTCTGTATTTCACTTTGGATAGTTTCTATTGTTATGTCTTCAAGTTTATTCACTGTTACTTGGGTAATGTCTAATCTGCTGTTAATCCTATCTAGTATATTGTTCATCTCCGACATTGTAGTTTTCATTGGTAGAAGTTTAATTTGACATTTTTGTGTTTCCCATGTTTCAACTTAACTGTTTGAACATGTGGGATACAGTTATAATGACTGTTGTAATGCTTTTTCTAATTCCGTCTGTAATTTCTGGGTGAGTTTTGATTGGTTGATTTTTTTCCTCTTAATAGTGGATTGTAATCATGTTATTTTAAGGTCCTTGTGTCCAACATTTTTATCATCTGTGGGTTTGCAGCTGTTGTCTGTTTCATCTTTGGATTGTCTGTCTTTCCTCTTCATGTGTTTAGTAAGTTTTTGTTGTGTGCTGGTCATGGTATATTAAAAAACCATAGAGCCCAGAGGGTCTTTCCACCAGAGAGGGCTTCCCTTTCCTCCAGTGGGGAAACAGGGTGGTGGGCTGTCCGCTTCCATCGAAGTAGTACTTAGCTGGGTCAGATCTGACTTGCATTTGGATAAGACTGAGTGTACTGCTGATTCTTGCCTTTTCATATAGTGTAGTCCTCCAGAGTTTCCACATGAGAGCCTGGCAAACCCTTTGTAAGAGGACAGCCTGACTTAAATCTTTGTCTTCTTGGCCCTGAAAGACTGTGGGAGATTCAGTCTTGTCCTTAAGATGTTTACAGCTTGGCTGCTGCCTCATGCAGTTTAAACATCTGGACATCCCACCCCGTACACTTCACAAATTTTGCATTATCTTGAGGGGGAGAATAGCTGTGTGTTTGAAGGCCCTGTGTCTCAAGTGCTGTCACTCCAGCCCTGTGTGAAAGCCAGAGTATCTGCTGGAGTCTGTTTTCCCAGCAGTGGCCTTCTGCCAGGGGCAGAGTCTGAATTCTCAGCCTCTCAGCACCTAGCCTCTCAGGCGGGAGAGGGCTTTCAGTTTTAGTGTCACTGATCACTCTTCCAGGTTTTCATTGCTTGCCTGTTTTGTTTCCAGGCCCCTTCTGTCGGTGGGTCTTTGTGGCCTGAGTACTGTGAGATTGCAGAGGCTGTTAACCTCCCCTTTAGGTGTGCAGCCTCCCACACATCTCACAGTTGAACAGTATCTTGTGGGGGAACTGGGCTTACACTTTTGGCCCCCCTGACCTCCAGTTTTATAGCTCAGCCTACCCTACCATCTGCTAAAAGCATTGCTGCTCTCTTTTTTCCCACCAGTGGCTTTGCATGACCCAGCCAAATGCAGGTCTTCAGTCCAGCATCAGCAGATACCCCCCGGGGGCAGGCTGCTAACCTCTGAACAGTTTCCCCCGCTTTGGAGTTTAGTCCATTTAATCTTCATTAATCTTTGTTGCTTCCACACCTAATAACTTTAAAAATACAGGTTTTATAATGTATTTTTCTCTTGTTGTTTGTGGCAGCATTGACCTGCCATGACCTCTTGAATCCTGTTAAGGGGAATTCCAGATATCTTTTTATTATTCTTGCCCACTTTTAAAATATTTTATTGTTCCTGATCATGTTTCTGTTCTTGAATTTTCCTTGCAGTTCTTTGATAACTAAGAAAGAGCTTACTTTCATTCTAGTAATATGGCCCTGGTTTGCCTATAACTCTACCATGGGACCCACAGGAATTATAATTGCTGGCTTCCAATGTGCTGCATGCTTTCTAGGAACTTTATAGGTATTTCTTCTAGTCCTCATGGCAGCCATGGGGTTAGGTTGTGCTAAGATTGTTATTGTTATTAGCTTCATTACCATCCTCCCCATTTTCCAGTTGAAGAAATAGAGGCTCAGAGAGGTTAGCGCAGCCGGCAAACAGGAGAGGCTCGGCAAACGGGAGAGGCATGGCAGACGGGAGAGGCACGGCAAATGGGAGAGGCACAGGTGGAGGCTGGTCTGATGGCAGTCTGGGTTGCCAGCACACTGCTGTGAGGGCCTCATGTCCCTGTAAACAGTTTAAAATTATAACACTCAGTTTGAATGTTTTAGTCGCCTAACAAATGAAGAATTCTAGAATGGATGAAGAATCCTATTTGGTGAGCCAAATACCCCACATGAAACCTGGCCCAAAGCTTTCTCTCTTTCTAGGGTCTCTGCTGATTCTTTCTAGTTAAGCACAAAGCTTTGGAATTGATTCCCTTTCCAGATGTTTTCATTCCCAGGAGTGCGTGTTCTAAAATAACTTGCTGAGAGAGGCTTGAAGGCAGTACTTGCAGAATAGAACTCATTCTGGTACCGTAGTTAGTGTCTCTGACATTCTTTTCTTAAACAAACAAGTGTCCACAATGATGAGAGATTCTTTTACTCCAAGTATATTTAGACACTGTGTTTATGAAGAAAATAATTTTAAATAATTGATACCAATATTGATGACTTCTGTCAAGAAAATTTATTCTCTAGAGTGTATGCCATTTAAATCAGTTTAATTCCTTGATGATTTTTCACTATGGTGTAATTTTTTTCTTTTTCCTTTTTGTTGTATTGAAGTTTATTTTCATTAGAATGAGTTTCTTTCCAGGCATATTTTGTAAAGGTTTAATTCATCATGATCCATTTTTAAATTGTTTCTATTGTGAAATAGTCTACATATAGAAGAGTCAATAAAACATGTAAATAAGAATAATAAAACACACGTGTCTTCATCCTTAAGAAAGAGGATATCACCAGCATCAGAGAAGCCCTTGGAAGCCCCTCCCTGATGGTGTTCATCATTCCTTTGCTTTTCTTGTTATTTTTACCACGTATATGTATCTTCATATGCCATTTTGGACTGTCTTTAAATGGGGCCACATATGATATTATTTCTTCTGTGACCTTCCCTCATGTTCCTCGTATTGGTTTTGAGCTGCATCCGTGTGGTTATATAGAGCTGGAAGGCATTCATCTTCACTGTGTGTAGGACACACTGCAGGCCAGCTCATTTTGCTTCTGGTGGGCGTGCTGCTAGTCTGTAGGTTTCTGCTTCTGTTAGTAGCTCTGCTGTCAACTCTAGTCTCTGAAACCTGGTGCACATTGTGCGAGCTTCTCTGCATCCTGGAGGCCAGTGTGTAAGAAGGTGTGGAATTGCTAGGAGGTGGCATTTG